ATTCGATCTCATATATCATGCTTGTGGCCATTGCTGTTAAAATCTTGTTGCCGTAGATTGGTTATCCTATTAGTGCTCAGTTTCCCCTTCGCAGTTGAACCATATTTCGCCAAAGTTTCTTTGCGATGTGATCGTCTGACTTTGGATGCGTCCAGTTTTTGCAGCGTTTATTTTTATGTATGGTTCTGCTTGAAGTATATCCTTGGCCAGTGCTTATCTTGAATAACTCTGTAATGTGTAAAAGTGGAACTGCAGATTAGCCGCAACAGGGAGGAAAAAGCGTGGAAGATGGAAAGCGTCGGCGTTTGCGCTTAAAACAGCAAGAATTTGATGATTTTGCGCTTCTATGACAAAAGCGACCAGCGGCAGTTACGGGCTGCGGGCGGCTACTGCGTGCTACGAACTGCCAGCGGCTGTTACCGGCTGCCAGAGGTTGCTACGGGCTGCTAGCGGCAGCTGCCGGCACGGTATGAAGGCACCCTAAAATAACTTCATGTATCGGGAGACGTTATCAAAAGTTGCGTATGATTGCGATGGTCGGTGTGTGCGGCCATTGCCTGAGAAGGATTCCATAAGGTTCCTTCATCCAGTGAACAACTCCATATTTTTCAGAATCGCTACAGGTAATCAAAAGCTAACGTATGATTGCGGAAAAGCGTTCAAAAAAAAGGTAGAGAACTGAGAGAGCTCTGCATAAGCAATGGTATACTCACCGATCTTTGCTATCATGCAAAGTTCTAAGTTTTCGTTCGAGGATAACGAAATTTGGTTGAAGCCGCTTTGAAAAATTTACATGTCTGGGTTTTTCAGTTACTGGAAGCTTTTTAAAACATGACACAGTTCCTGAAAATCAGCCTGACTTTCAGTTTGTATTATTTCAAGGTAAAATTTCACAGGAACTGCTGAACATCTGTTTTGGCTGCTTCTACTTGTGGAAATTCTACTTTTGCCAATAAAAACAACACAGCGGAGTGAGCTCGTCTTAAGGGAATAAAAGACCTAATGAGTTCATGCCGCAGTCATTTTTGGTATAATTCTTTAGGTTGCAGGCTTCTCACAAAAACATGCTGGAATCTATTTTGGCCGCTTCTACTTTGCGAAAATCCTACTTCTGCCTTAAAAAATCAAAAAGAGCAGAACAAGATTGTTCTTTCTCGAAGGGAGGAAAGATGCAGCAGCTTCATGCGGCAGTGCGTTTCTGTTGATAATTTCTCAGTTTCTATGCTAAGTTATACAAAAGCTCCCTTGAAGTCCACTTTTAACCGTTTTACTTCGCAGAAATCACATCTCTGCCTCTTATAACAAAGTAGCAAAGGGAGCTTGGTCTCGAAGAAAGAAAGGATCCGAGAGCTTCAAGCGGCAAACATTTCTTCTAAGAATTTCTCAGTTACAATGCTAAATCAAACAAATCTCTTTAAATCCAGTTTTGACCGCTTTCATTAGGTCTTAAGAAAAGTCCCCAGGCATTTGCAAAAAAATTTTTCAAGAGGCTGTGATTCTTCCTTAAAGCTACAAACTTCTTTGCAAAGACAATTTTGTTTACAACATAAATTTACCTTGCTGGCTTTTCAGCATCTCGCTGCGGTCCACCAGCATGCGCAAAAGGGGGAACGATTGACGCGAAAAGTAAGCTATTTGCGCAGAATATCTCAGGCATGATGAGAGCTGGACAGCTCATATGCTGTAGTTATATAGAATTTATGTAAGTCTGCTGGGGCTATCTTGGAGACTATTTATGTCTTTGAGCGACTATCTGCAAAATAAGTTATCCCAAAAAGGTTAAGAAATTGGCAATTTTTTGCCCCAAAAATGCACCATTTTTCGAGTAAGAGATTTGAAGACTTCTCGTTCTGCACAGTGCGAAGATTGTTGGGCTAATGCCTTATACATCTTTTGGACCCAATGGCGATCTTCGCAGAAGCGATGTCATCTGCGAAAATAGTTGCAGTCAGAGGCAAGATTGACAGCTTGTAATTTCTGAGCGCAATCGCAAAACGAGTGCAGCTGCGGGTGAGAACTAACAGTCTCCTCGATTGGATCGCACACAATTTGGACGAGAACTTATGAACTTCACAAAAAATGGCCGCAGGAAGAAAAATTGTGAAATTGTCATGGTTAGAAAGCTTTCCTTTTTTGATGTGCAGATTATACATGTTTTGGCACCTATGAAAATTAGAAGCGGCTTCGAAAAGATTAGGCTTCCTTCTACCAAACAGTATAAAAACTTCGTGTCAAATAGACGGAGCGGCAAAAACATGCATCAGTAAACGAAATCTTTAAAAGTGCCCGGACTCTTCCTTTACAACCTAATATTTCGCAGAAATCATACCTCTGCCTCCTATAATAAAGAAGCAAAGCAAACTTGATCTTGAGGGAAGGAAAGTCCCGAGGGCTTATGCGGCAAGATCAATGCTAACTTATCAAAAATATTGCTTGAAACCCACTTTGGTCGCTTTTACTTCGCAGAAATAAAACTTCTGCTCCCTTTAGCAAAAAAAGGAAAGGGGGCTTGGTCTCGTGATCTCGGTCTATGCGGCGGGACATTTGCTAAGATTGTCCAGGAGAAAGCTTTGAGCGAACTTTGGTTTCGCTTCAGAAATGACTTCGCGAGATGTTATAAGGAGAGTACAGGACTGTGCATAATCGCGAAGCTCGATGTGTTTGCGGCCGTCGTACATTCCTGAAGTCAGCCTGAATTTCGGGTTGAATCAGCTGTTATACGTAGATGACTGCTTAGGCGATTTCCATTTTCAGGAGCTGGGGTTGGGTCTTTGCAAGAAGAACAACGTATATGAATTGGTAGTTAATTGCTGTAAAAAGTTTCCTTGAGAGCTATGAGATCTTGCTTCTATTACTACTTGCATTGCGAAAAAGGTCGTTGAAAAAATGGGAGTTCATTCTCTTTCTATTCTATTTGCACGCAGACAGTAATCAATGTATCTGCCCCAGCCACTTACTAGCGACCCGTAGGGTCGCTAGTCGTATATGACATAACATTGACCGCTCAATGCAACTGTCACAGATCAGCACGCGAGCTAGCGACTGCTACGCTGTGCAACGGAGCACTCGTCGAGTTCCAGCTTGGAATCTTGCAACGGCACAATAGAGGAGTTAAACGTGCATGGTAGAAGAGGCGTTTGGTGGCCTAGCGATTTGACCAAATAGAAATAACGGATTTTCAGACCTCGGAAGACGGCGTCATCGCCGAAAGATTATGCAGATTGAATATAAATGACGGACTTCAAGGCCTCAAAGACGGCGTCATTCCCGAAACATTATGCTGACTAAATATAAATGAAGGACTTTCAAGCCTCTGAAAACAGACATCGCCGAAACATTATGCACCACATAATGTTTCTTTAACAATCTGCTATTCTGCCAATCTGCTATCGTTATGCCTAATCTGATCTCCTAGAACATAAAATGATAAACAGTTCAGGTATTTTTTGAAGCAAATTCTTTTCCTCTCTGTAACAATGACGAGACAAGCAAATGCGAAAATATGTAGTCGCAGTATTTCTCAATTTCGAGTGCACACTGACGTATCTTGTTTGAAATCTCCATATTTTGAAGCAAAATTGCTTTCTTTAGAAGATTGCTCAGGAGTAGATGTATTCCAATGTTGAAACTCTGGTATTCTGAAGATTTTGCAGCTTATGGTGACAGAAAGCTCATGCAAATTTTTGGAAACTCAAGACTATTGGAAAATTATCTCGTACAGTTCCAGAAAAATGGCCGGGAAAAAGAAGAAAAATTGCTTTAGTTGGCAAAAAGTTTGCTCTAGCTGCTGGCTATTAAAACTCCCCCAAAAGTCTCAAACAAAAATTTTGAAATTTACCGAAATTGGGACGTGATAAAAAGGAAGGATTGTAGTTTCCAGCGATTATCTTTAGCACTCTATCAACGATTTACACGGGAAATACAGCAGCTAGAAAGAGGAAGAAATTCTGCGTCAGATACAACTTGAGTTCGTTTCTCTTTAATGTACCTGATTTGCCGGTTACTACAGAAAAAACTTGCGAAACTTCTGCACCGACTAAGTTTATTTTTGATTTTCAACGCTTGTAACTACTTTAACGATGCTGAGCATATTTACGCGAAAGTTTCACCCAGAACCCCGCACGCAACGTCTTCTGACATTTTTTTACGAGATCCCCCTTAGCTTTGACTAATTTCACGAAGGTCCTTTGATGAAAAACGCATACACAAATTAACATAACTTGACGAAAATGCAGAATTCGGAAACGACCACGTCGAATATCGGAGCACAAAAATAGATCTTTCAACGGAGAATCCGTCCATAATCAAAAAATGCGAATTTATGTAAATCCACAACATAACAGATCAGCTCAGTCGACCGTGATGTCTTTAAAAACTACTTTTCTGAGAATGTTATTACGTCACAAAAAATTTTTTTTATGCACAACATATCTGAGAAAGATACCATATGCATAGACAAACTTAGCGTCATATGCTCATCTCTACGCTCTGAGAAAGCCACTTGCTATTTATTGTATTCAAATTGGATTTTAAGTGTATGCGTCGTTTGAATGTCTGCTTATATGCCTGCTAGCATGGTTTGCGACGCCTTTCTTGCTTCTTCCTCCAAAACAAGTACAGCGTGCTTTCCTGATTTTTACGCTGGGCCCTAGTTCCGTTCTTGTATGACATTCCCCTCGCTCTTTATCTCTCAAATATCCAGCTCGTCGAACCAAAACCTGTACCAAGAACAAAATGAGGTAATACCAGTGCAATTAACAGTTCTCGTGCTTCAAAGCTCCAAAAATTTTCTGCGGAAAGGGTTCTTGCATTGATGTTGTATTTTAAAGAGCTTATTAAGAAAGTTCTGACATTTGCTGGAGAATATCGAATTGCGCTAGTTTTCTCGAGGCTCGTTTTTCAAAACGAGCTAGCCTGTAATACTTGGAATGAAACTTGGCTCTAAAAAAGTCATCGAAGTTTGCAGAATATCTATGGTACAAATGTTCTCGCCATCGCCTAAATCTCTTCAGAATGAAGTGGGCCCTTATTGTCCTGCTGCTTCTTTTTAACCTTGTTCAACCAATCCAACCATCAACCAACCCTCGGACAGTTGATGACCCAGTGTATTGGAGTCTCTGCGAAGGAATGGATAGCAAAGATCCTCTTGTCAGAAAATTGGCCAAAAAAGGATGTAACTCTCTCTGTAAAAAAAAGGTAAAAGAATAATTTGTGGTTGTTTCTATCAATGATGGCCATTTTCGTGAAAAGGGAAGGGGAGTGTGAATTTTCTAGCTAAAAAAAGCGATATGGTACACAAGTTAACTGTTAACGCGGATGTACCGTAACAGCCGTCATGGGCACGATAGGTGGATCAATTTCTTTGCCCCCTTCACTTTTGAGCCGGCCTCTGGATAACCCCTTTCACTTGAGTTGAGACTAGGGTCAAGGCGTAACGGCAGAATGAAATGCCTATGTAAATAGTGCAGATTTTGCTTGGGACTGCCAGCTGTTGCCTGTTTTAGTCAGTGCATGACATGACTTTTGCAGTGTTTGCTGAGAAAAACGCACGTTTGAGACCTCCTATCTCACTCATTGTGGTATAGTTCGATAGCGAAATAAATCCAAGAAGCGTGCTCATTGAGAAGAATCGGATTATATCTCCATTGGAAAGCGTGACAGGAGTCAAGGGCCTTAGATTTCTTACAAGGGAGTGGTCAGAAGTCGAAGTGGCCAAACCAAACAAGCTGTATACCATTCGATGCAGTATAAAACGCTGACTTCGAATCTGCCTTTCTTATCTGCTTCCCGCTTCTGTGGACGAAGCTACAAGCGGTTTTCTTAAGAAAAAATCGCACATAAAAACAGCGAAATTGAGCACACTGTTGCATTTTTAGCTCAGCTTTTTTTTAAAGATTTGAAGTAGGCTAGCTGCATGTTTTGGCCCAGCATTAAGGCGAACGTGGCTCTGCATGGCTAAATCATCAATTCCATGCGTAATTTCTTAGCAAAATAATGGTCTTTAGTGGCTTGTAGCTTTGTCCACAGAAGCGGGAAGCAGATAAGAAAAACAGATTCGAAATCAGCGTTTTATACTGCATCGAATGGTATACAGCTTGTTTGGTTTGGCCACTTCGACTTCTGACCATTCCCTTGTTAGGTTTAGAGCCTTCCATTCACATGCGAAGCCCTTCAATTCACAATTGGCGAAATGGTCTACATCGGCTTTCCTGAGTCGAAAAAGTCTTTATTGGATGCAAAGCCTATGCATTCGAGAAAATTTTCATATTACACCTCTGTACCACTCATTTTCCTTATTTTCACTCCCGCTTGCGTCAGCATTCATCTTGAGGCTTAGTTACCCCCTTCACATTTCTAGGTCGGAGATAGCCAAAACTCCCTTCACCTGGAGGAGACCCTGCTTCCCCTATCGCACCTCTGATAGCCGTTTCAAACAGTTTTTGAAATTTGATCATGCCATACAAACAGCCTTGGCAAGCTTCAACCCTGCCGCGAAAGTCCTTTTTTGGTAGCGTCAACGACTTTCGACACGTTTTCAGTTTCTTGTGAAATTATTAACACGTTGACGACAACGCGCATTTTTAGTTGTCTGCCTTGTGGGACAATGCCTTCCACGAACGAGTCGAAAATTTCTAGCTAAAATCAAGCAGATCGTCATTTTAACTATACCTACACAAATTCTTGAAAGCGGCCAAGAAACGTCAAGGTGTTTTCTAGGGTTAGAGCGTAAAAGACCTCAGGAAACGGATGTACCCAGTATTCGTTATTATTTCAAAAAAATTTATGCCGTGACCCACCATGTGGGTCACATTGTCCCACGTGGTAGTCATTGCATGACCCACCATGTGGGTCACGTTGTCGTCAATGTGTTAAACTCGCCGACGATTGACGTTAAGGTGTTGGGCTACTGTAATCCTGCAGAAGTAGTCGCGATCTGGTCTACATTGTGATTAAGCTAAAGCTAGCTCTTCAAATACATTCAAACCATAAAAGAAATTGAGGCAAAAGAGATGAAAGAAACAGGGTTTACAATTTTATAGAACGCCCTGTATTAGAGCAACGCCATGCAGAGTAGCTTTACGGAAATTTTTAGTTTAGTTGCATTATTGATTTGAATTTTTCGACAAATTCTTCGGTGATTTTCTTGTTGACAGACTTCGTACATTTGATAATTGCCCCCTGTTTTTTCCACTACTCAAAAAATTTGAAACAGCCTCAAAGGAGGAGCACTCAAAAAGAAAAAAAATGGGTAGCATGGTGGTGACCCGGGATGATCACTTTGGTGAAAACCGAGAACTTTTTTATAGTATGAAAGTTCTGAAGTGTTAAAGGCAGTGGCTCGGCAAATCTCAACCTGGTCAAACTCGCCTTACCTGGGGTTTTTCAATACGCTGATCCCGAAAATCCACTTTTGAAAGCTTGAAAATGGCGAAAATGAGCGTTTTTCAATGCCCTTCCCTTATTGGACGAGTGGAGCAAGGCCGATGACGCTAAATCGTGGCAGGACCCAATGGTTATAGCGTTACGACGGGCAGCCTCCAATGGTGAGAAGGAAATTGCCAACTCGTTCAGATGCTTGTAAGATTGGCCTGCGCGTGTAAGCTTGAGAGCGATTTTCTCAGCAGGGAAAGCATGCTGTACAACCGGAATTGCATTGTTTTCATAGTTGGGCGGAAAGGATCCTACTGCGTTAAAATCCCGAGTTGTTGGATTTTGCCGATCCACTGCCTTTAATTCAGAATGATCTTAGACTACTTAAGAAGTGATTCAAAAGTGCTAGATTGCAGGAGCGTTCGATGGGAGCCGCACGGTTTCCCGCATTTTCACCTTTTTGAATATTTAACGATTTATTGTGTAAGACTAGCGGCCCTACGAGTCGCTGTAAGTGGGTCGGCCAGATATTATACATTAGTATTAGCTTAGTTGGGACTACGTCTAACTATCAACGGTGTTCAGATCTCTCTTCCAGAAAAGCTCAATGAATGGAAAATCAAACTTCGCAGGTACACACAAAATGATACCTGATCCTTCCTTCCAAATGCCACCACCAAAATTCAGTTACAGCTTGCTTCTTTTGTTGCTTACGATTAGTTAAAATCAACATAATCGCTTCCCTAACAAGGCTGACCAAACCGATGCGTGCTGGGTCTTCACTCCGGAAGCAGAGGAATTTTCTGTAGCTTAAATTCTGTCGAAATCGAGGTCCGCTTTTTATGAGATTTGTGGGGGAAAACAAAATTTTTTGCTCCAAAAACTGATGAGCCACAGAGAGAGCCTGCATTATTTTGCTGTTAAGTTGCTCTTCGAGTTGAGGTTTCCGTCAGGATTTCGCAAAATTTTGATCTTTGACGACTATTTCTTGTCTAAAAATTAGTTGAAGGCTATCTTTTTCAGCGGCTGGGAGGAAGAGTATTTCTTTGGCGAGATTATGATTTGTGACGAGAATAGTAGTTGTGAACTGAGATTATCATAGCAGAAATGATGCGATGCCGATCTCCGGCGTTGAGTTACGATGATGACATGTTCACTGTCAAAATGGGATGAGTCACGGCCACAGTAATTTCAAAACACATTCTGCATTGCCGTCGGTCAATCCACAATCTCATAAACACTCTCTCGTTTCGCGCTCCCCTGCGCCATAGGAAGTTTATCGTGTAGATCTCCCGCGGTCCGTAATCTATGCGAGAGAGTGATGTCTCGCGCGCTCACACTGTCAACAACTCCCCCTCCGCAACGCTGAAAGGGGGCGTCAGGGTGGGAGACGATGTGTAGTTGTGTAGTGTGACGAGTTTTCGTCGTCGTGAGATGTTTCCACTCTGTACAATACCGCTCACCTAATGTGCAAAATTTCCGTAGATATCGCGAAACATCGAAAATTCTGCGAAAATCCCGGAATTCCGCGAAATTCCGGGAACGTCGCGAAGTTTCGTGGAATTCCGGGAATTTCGCGGATTTTCGGAATTTTGCGATATTTACGGAAATTTTGCACATTCTGTGAGCGGTATTGTATATAAGGAAGATATAGAGTTTCTACAAAAAAGTCACAACTAAATATGACTTTTTTAGGGGTGGTACTACGGCGCTTGCAGGACCGTGGGAGTGTGCACGTGCATATAAACGAGATTGATTTGAGCATGGCATGATCCAGCTTTCTCATGTTCTCTGCCATCGTGATGTCTGCTTTGCGAAACATTATAAAGATTAACAAATGTTTAAAATGCTTGGTTTTCATTGCTGCTTTTGGGCTACGAAGGCTCCTTCTGAACTTTGCCTGAAACTGCAGTAAAAGATCAAACAGGTTACAAAGAAGGAGATTTAGGTTGGAAACTAAGTTTTGCAACTGGTCTCGTAACTTCCCTCTCACTCAACATGGTGCACTCAAATTTTGCCACTGCTTTGGTTATTACGTAAGCTACAAGCGCAGCTGCTGTCCTACCCATTTCTGACGTCGCAATGGGGGTTACGGTAGGTGCATGGTATGAAGGGGAAAAATTCACAGTTTGACAGATATGGCTGAAACTTGGCATAGGGGTGTTATCCGACATGCTGATCACGAAAACGATGGTGAGATTGCGTGATAAGGGCTTTTTTGTAGGATTACTGTAAGTGTACGATATGGGGTCTCACCCTAAACAAGGAAAAAGGCGTTGATTCAACAAATAAATGTGATATTCGCGTTTGGCAGGTCAAATAACCTTACTATGTAAAGTCTCGGCGGAATTTGAGCTTCGGACTCTTTAGTCATTGACGGTCGTCCTCAGCAGCTCTTGCGTACATCGACTCGTTCGATTTTGTGAGGACGCCAAATCTCGACATGCCCCTTAATTTTCTTTTTTTCTTACTGCGCCAAAAGAGTCAACCTCCAGCATTAATTTATAGACGAATTCGGACTACTGCGCATGGTCTAGGCTGCCAAAGGCTTTATTTTAGCTTGAACCCCCAAAAATTCTCAAATTTCACTGGTTTTCGAAAAACGCCTGGAACTTTTCTATTCTGTGCTCAAAATTTAAACAATTTGTGCCCTCTTGTAGCTCACATTGCCTTCTACATGATGCCAAAGTTTGAGTGCGCCATATTCAAAGAGAGTGAAGTTATGAAACCAGTTGCAAAACTTAGTTTTCAGCCTATTACATTAGGTTGGCGCGAGATTTCTTGCATAATTCAAACAAAATTAAACGACTCCAAATACACCAAATCCATAGTTTTTTATCCTAAAAATAGTAGGTTTGCGCTTCATAAACATATGTTTAGACTTAACATTCTCTAACTTACGATTAGCCAAAAAGAACGGAGCTTTCAAAAATAGCGTATTGCTACAATTGTGACATTGATGTCAGATAATCAGGACCACTTGTTGACCTAACAAATATATAGAAATTAAGAGCGCAGAAGTCCATAGGTTACTTGTTTACTTGGCGGGCTTCTTTTATGGTAACGAAAATCTTATTAAAAAAATGTTATTTTGTTACAAAGAAAACCACCTCATTACTGCACTTTTTCGGCGAAAACACTTTTTTTATGCTCTCCGATGCTCTAGAAAACTTCACAGTGTTTTAAATAGGAGCGATGTCTATTTTCAATTTTGTACTGATTTCTGTAGAAAAACTGCAGCATTCCGAATTTTACCCTGTGAAGTGATACTTTTCATAAATTTTTTGTTTTTGCATTTCCATACGAGTTTGAAACAAGCCAAAGCGACATATGGACTTCTACATGTATAAAATTTTCGCAGACTTTTTGGGCTAGATGGCGGTCCTCCGCGGTTTTATAGCAGCAAAAGCAAAATCACAAAATTTTTCAACGCCATTTTTGAAAGCTCCGTTCTTTGTGCTAATGTATAGAATATTACGGTTGCATATCCGTGACGGAAAGCAACCTTCTTCTACTTTGGGATACTAAACAATAGTTTGATTTCAATATTTGACAAGTTATCGAGTTTTATTTGAATTGCGCAAGATTTGCGCCAAACCTAATGTGTTGCTTATGCAGCTGTAAATTTCGGCACAACTCGAGATCAACATCTTAGTTCTCTGCTGTGCAGTGACGATGAGAGTGAACAATTTATTGAGTTATTTCGACCAGCAGGTAAAGTATTCACTACAGAAATCAAGTATAGGATAGCTCAGCAAGTTTATATCGAGTCCGTCTTACTGTGTTCAGATCTGAGTCTGGATGAGAGAACGCACGAGGACTCACCGCTGTTTATTGGAACCATCAAGAGGCACTATCACCCCTTCTGTCTAATCAAGAGAACTCACCACTCATTAACTCAAAACACCATTCAGTGCTACATGCTACACGGACCCGAGAAAAATGGTCAACATAGTCCTTAAGCTAAACAGCTGTTTTGAGTCATCTCACATGAATTTGATTGTTGCTGCTAAACGTTTATCAAAGAATTCAGCGAATTGCGATTAATTGTATTTTGAGCTTTGTCATTTTTAGCACGATTTTGCAAACAAACCATAAGATTCTTCCCGAACACATTGAAATTTTCATCCCGTGACGGTAAGGTTTCATACAATGTCAAATTCCAAGCTTTTCGGTGGTCTCTATTTTCCGATATCAAGGCAAAGCTGGCATCCCAAGAAAAGAATCTTTCTATTAGAAAAACACCCAAATACCTTTCACTACACTTGCGATTAAGAATGTTTTAAACTTTGGACAAAAACTGTCAAGGAGTATGCATGGAGTAAAGAGATTCTCAGACACTAATTCGCAGTCGTCATTTGTGATCGCCAAGATGAACAGTGCACAAGACAATTTAAATATTTGCACTGTTTTTGAATGAATTCCCCTCTGCAAAAGGGAATATTTTGTAGTGGTCATGATAGTAGAGCGTTTCCTTGGTGAAGAACATGGCCATGATAACGGCACTTCCTACCAATCTGTGCCTCCATCACAGCATGTAGACTCTACAAGTTGCATATTTAGTGGTAAGCGCAGACAACAAACCAACCATTGTAGGCCAGACAGCAGAAAAAATTGCTTGAAAATATCTTCATTGACTATCCTAGCCGAAAAAGATCATGATTGGAATTCTGCCAAGTAAAAGGCAGTCTCTTAGCTTACAAAACTATTTCCTGACCATACTTCTCTCCTTTCCCTTTGATTTCTGAGAAGCTATCACTAGCAAACCATATTGCAGATCTTTCTCATAAACTGTCGACGAGCTTTCTTACAACTGGTCTCAGCCACTGCTCATATATCCCATTACGCCCGCATACTTCTTGCAGCGGCTACATATCCTTCTTTTTTTTGTTGTGTGACTATGCTTGAAGAAATTGCATTCGTTGAGAATATCGGCAGAAAAACATCACATTACACGCTGAACCAGTCTGATATCTATAGCGATGTGCAAAAACCTTGACTAGATTTGTATAGTAACTGTTAGAATGGAGATGTTAAAGCGTTTTGTATGCGACCGCAATGCGGTGATGTCCGGAGGAGATGGATTGAGGAGGATCTGAATTTCTTCCCGAAGACAACGTTTTATAGGGCATCGTTCCAAAAAACTAGGACTGTCATCTTACTTTCAATATCACATTCACCTGGAAAACATCGTTTATGTAGACTTTCAAGAATCACGCGTACTTGCATATCTCGAGATTTTAGTGAGGAAGTTACACAATCAAACTTGCTGGTTACAAAGGAAGGCCGCTTGGTTGAAGTGGTGAGAAACGCTGATCTTGGATATACTTTTTATTTTTCATGCCTGCAAAAGCCTTTTTTAGAGAAAGTAATGGGCTTCCTTTATTTATAATGGACGTGCGGTCTAGAAGAAAAATGAGAACCTGAGGAAAAAAATGATTGGACAACACTCGAAAACGTCCGGTTCTAATCAAATTAGACCTACAACACTTATTAGGTAGTTTGCTTGAACCTGCATGCTTTTGTTTGAGGATAGCTTGCAAATTACAAGGAAAGATACCTAACTTAGCTTGCTTTAATTTAGCTTGGCCTTTCGGCAACGGACATAAATATTCTGAATCAGCTTCAAACGCCCATTCCAAATATGCTATTCCTAGCTGCCGCGCACCATTCCGAAGCGAGTTATGGGCTTTTTTCCTACGTAAAATTGACAAGCACATCGACTTACTGGCATCACGACATCATTGTCTGAGTGCCAATATACTTGCGGTAAGCTTTCTTCTAGTGAGAAATGACTGATTTGTGTTATTTAGATAACTCAGCACCTTTTTCTTGCACATTTCTATCTACAAGCACTCTTCCCACGTTTGGCAGTATGCCACATTTGCTCAGAAAAAAGCCCATAACTCGCTTTTGGATGGCGCGCGGCAGATAGGAATAGCATATTTGGAATCATGGTTGAAGTTATCTCGGAATACATATCTACCTTGCCGAAAGGCCTAGCTAAGTTAGTAGCTTCCTTTATTAAAATGCACGAAAATTTGGCATAAGAAAAGCTCATAACTTTGAAGCGCTTGGTGGATATAGAAGGTATAGTTGAGATCATGCACTAGCTGATATAGATCATCTTCCAAATCGCCACTTTGACCAAGCAATTTTCCCTTGTCAGATATTTTCATACACTTACACAGAATTTTACACTGTAGGCCAATTTTCTGAATCCTCTGGTCGACTTCTTTAGCAGCCTTCAAGATTGGTACAGAGTTTATCCAACAATATACGAAGTTTCGGCAAACTTGCCTTCTTCAGAGTCTGAAAAATCGAAAAAAACACATAAGTGAACTATCCGACCAACACCTTGTCGACTACAAAAAAGAGCCCAACTTGGGCTTTTTCGACTTTAAGACTCTGAAAACTTTTGAAAGTTCTGAACGAGTTCTGGCCAACTCGACTTGATTTCATTTTCGAAGTTTTTTCCAAAGTTTGATTTTTACGAGCAAAACTATATCGGTTAACTATCCACGGCTGCACATTAAGCATGCTGCGATGTACCAAGTCGAGTGTTCATCGCGATCGGGTGCTCATAACGGCTACATCATTTCTTCGAATAGCAATTGTTATTCCGCAACTTGACTTATAGCTCAAAGAAATGCGCATGACATGCAGTTGCTTGCATATAAATGCAGCTAGAACTTTAATCTTATAATTTATTCTCAGCTAGTCTCTGCTAAACAGAGAGGATAACGTGAGTTCAGAGAGGTTTTCGAACGAGGCCATCTTCAGTTTAGTTGCTTCTGACACAAATAATATCAATTTTCCT